TTTTGAGACCAAGCAAATTGCCCTCCGTGATCTTGTTGATTTTCGATCGTTGAAATAAATTACCAACTATGTTACCTACTACTCACACGTAAGTAGTATCTCACAACAGTAGTATCGGTACGCATACAGACGATTCGTTTGGCATTTGCCAACTTGAGACATCTGTCGCGCCGTCGCGACATCCGGTGTGTTACAGCAGTTCCGCCAGTTCTGCTTTACGGCACAGAGACTTGGCCATTACTGGAGCATGATAAAAATAGGCTGTTGGTGTTCGAACACCCTTCTCTACACCGGATCTGGTGGGTATGGTGGGGTGACCATACAAGCAATGCTGAGGTTAGGCGCGGTTTTAGGAAATCGCTGTCGTCCACTGCTCACACGGGCCGCGTTAGGCTTCCTGGATGGGGATCCCGGGGTCATGGTAACCGGTGTTTAGAGACACAGTGATATGGCTGGTTGTCGTAAACATTGGCTCTCGTGTCTCTACTCATTATTTCTTCAACCGTAGCCTTCATGTATTTTCTATTTCCACTCTGACATTGATTTGAACATTCCAATTTTCCCTTCTTCATCCACATGGCAAGTCGTGAGACAACTAGCCATTGTAGCACGTCAGTGTGCTGTCTTTTCATGATCGGTGTCAGAAGACTGTTAAGGAAACCTAACTTTCTCTTGAGAATTATCATGGCATCAATTTGAAACGGATTGGGACCAATCGCCAACGAAGAAAAGTGATTGTTTTCTCAGTGTTACTGGGTCCGCGGTAGCCAGAATAACGGACGGAATAAGACTTTCTGATTTGTCCATTCCCTCCATCAGTGCTCTCGTAATTTTCATCCGAGAATAATCTTAACTGTGTGCAACCATAGCACTATTCTCCATCAGTCAGCACGTCTCTATTCCTTTCAATAAACACTCGTACTGTTTGAAATTGTCTTTTGACTGGAATTGTATCGTGGAATATGATTCAGTACTAAACTGGCACATAATAGAGACAATGCATGTTTTATCAACTGCTGCACCGAGTTGTCCGGATTTATCTCGAAACACGGGTGTATTTCAATCTGATACGGGACAGCGTCCTATTTCACTAGGTGCTTGTCCAAATTAGATAATCTCATTTTAAATAGTTGTTTGGCAGATTTGAAGTTTGTATGTTGATTGTGAAAAGTTCAGTAGCCTCGGTGGGATTCGAACCCACGCATGGATACCGCCTACGCTTTGTACGCGCATGCTCTACCAGCTGAGCTACGAGGCCACACCGATAGCACTGAGCTTTTTCACATTCGAATTTACCCATCCAACTTACAGAGGCATGTGGCATCCACCAGTTAGCATGTAAGCTGACTGCCTCGACAGGTTTTCCTTAGAATTCACCGGACTCTACCAAATGAGCTTCTAAGACAAGGTTAATTGTTCAAATAGTTGTTTGGCAGATTTGAAGTTTGTATGTCGATTGTGAAAAGTTCATCTCATTTTACTTTTTTGTCCCTAGTGGTTCAATGCCGGTGCTCACTGATATTTCGATACAATTCTTGTATTAATCCTGCTTATGTTTTCATTTTTGCATGCTATTTCAGGTATAAAGCTTTACAAGGCACTCTGGCCAAGTTGCCCGGAGAAACAAAGGTGTATTGCGGTCACGAGTATACAGTGAAAAATTTACAATTCGGTCTAACTGTTGAACCAAACAATGCGACAATGAAGCAGCGTCTGGACGAGATGCAGCGATTGCGTGCTGCGAACACTCCAACCGTACCCGGAACGATAGCTGAGGAACTGCTTACCAATCCGTTCATGCGTGTTACAGAGGCCAGTGTTTTGGCCCACGCAAAAACTCAAGATCCGATCGAGGCGATGAGAGTGATACGACAAGAAAAAGATCGTTTCTAATCGTCCGCGCTCAGTTCAATTATTCCTGTATTTCGACTAGATTTTCGCGCCTTTTTGCCTGTTGTTTCCGGTGTTATTTTCGTCATTTCTCACCTCTAATGAAACTACCTTTTTAATTTCTCACTGTAATTCTTAGTGGTTCCCTACCGGTGTTTTGTAACCGGTGTGTTACCTGACTCCCTGGGTGTATCCATATTTTGCAAAATGTCCGAATATACCATTGCAAGAAGAAAAGACAATAGTGAACAAGGTCGTTTGTGGTGATTCATCTACAGACTAATACATTACCTCTGCTCACAAATAATACGTTACAATTTGTGGCAAAAATGTTGAATAGCAGGGAGAGTTAGTGAAGAAAAGTAATCAACAGTTCAGTTATTATTTATTAAACATCGGCTTGAGATCAAGCTTGGTGCGAACGCCATGACAATATTAACAATAAAAATAACGAGCGGGGGGTTGGGGTACAGAGTATAGGGGGAAAATGTAGCTGTCAGAATAGGAGATTACGAATAAAAAGAATAACATTTTTTGGGTGTTTCACCGTACACTTCTTGAATTTTTTGTTTTTACGGGGTACGGGATTTCGATAGACAGACCGTACAGCATTCG